ATAAATATGGCGGCAAAGATGTGGACGATAGTCCGAATAATGTAAAGAAAATTTTGTTAACATGAAATGCAAATTCTGTGATAAATGTACAGAAACAATTCTATCAGGTTAACACCCATTGAATATAAAACTCGACATGCTAGAGTGGGCTAATATCTGCACATTACGAAGATCTTTATCTGTAAAATGTGTGTGATCTCAGTTTTTGTTTTTTCCAAAAATAATCAATGGAAAATGCCATGAAGCCATTTTTGACCTTAGGTCTCTTGTTAGGACAGGGAAGCATATGTGCATACAACAGAAATAATAATAATAATAATAATAATAATAATAATATAAAATTAAATTACTAAAAATATAAAATTAAATCACTAAATGAAATTCCATCAATCAAGGAAATGTTAAAACAAAAACTTCAGTTAAAGGCAAAGAGAATAAGACGATACGAAAAACGTTGTAGCTTCTATCACCAAAATAAAATATTCCAAATGGATCTTAAGAAAACTTACAGTGAAATTGGAAAAGCAGCTATACATGTCAAAAACCACCATCTATTGAAAAAGTCCAGAAATTTGGGGAGAATATTTGGAGAAGGCCAAATAAATATAACCCCAATGCAGAATGAATCCAACGAGAAGAATGAATGTTGGATAAACCTCTACAAGAATGGGAAAATATAACCACGAATAATGTTAGGCAAGCTCTAACGAAATCTCCAAAATGAAAATACCCAGGAAAGAGGTACCCAATTTCTGGGTCTCTCATCTGTAATCAATCCATAAAACCCTTGAAACAAACTCTGTCAGTGCTTATTAATATTCCCATTGAAGCCCCACAATAGATCACTGAAGCTATTACATATCTCATGCCAAAAACGAGAGAAACATGACCCGAAAAATTATAGACCAATAATATGTCTGTCCACCACATATAAATTGATTACGTCTATCCTGACGAACCGTCCTTACTCCATTCTCGAAGCAAACATTCTTCCATTGGAACAAAAGGAATGCAGGAGAGGTTCATATGATGACAGTGATAAACTACAGATAATCAAAATGAACCTGGAAAATTGCAGGAAGACGATGTAGAAATCTCAGCACAGAAAAAAGTACAGAGACAAAGAAGGTGAGAAGGTTCTCTTGTGTTTAATGTATGCCTCTGTGAAATTTCATTAAACACAGCATGGGAATGTGGAAAACCACATTATACCTAAATCACACAAGAGGCACTGCCACAACGAACCACCTGAATATCCGACGAGGAATCTTTCAAGGAGACTCCCAGTCACCCCTTTCATTTTGTCTCTCCATAACCCCCCTTACGCATGAACTAAGTAATAATATCTATGGATACAAACAAAACAAGAAAGTATTCAATCACCTTCTCTTCATGGATGATCTCAAACTTTTTCCCCAAAACAACAATGAGTTGAAGGGTATCCTCAATACTGTAAAATGTTTCAATGATGACATAGATACGGATTTCGGATAAGATAAATGTGAAAAAGTAACATTCAAGAATTACAGAAACACCCTCAATAAATTTAGATTTTGTCACAAAGGTAAAGGAACTGGAACAAGATGAAGCCTATAAATACCTAAGAATTAGCGAAGTAGATGGAATACAGTATACCCAAATGAAGAAGGTAAGAAAGGATTACTACAGGCGTGTGCGTCTGGTAATGAATACCGAGCCGAAGTCAAATAACAGAATATCAGCCATAAATATCTTGACTGTCCCTGTGGTGCAATACAGTTTCAACATTCTTAACTCGACCATAGCTGACATTAAGCTACCGCCATTGATTGTCGTTATACATCCTTGCGCAAATTAATTAAAACAAAACGAATAATTCCGTTATTATTTACATTTTTTCATATTTTTCCAATGAAACATTACCAAGTACACATGTTAGTACTTCGTATGTCTATTCCACGAAGTCGTTCCTTGCAGATTGACCACAGATTCTCGATTGGATTTAAATCAGGAGAGTTTTCAAGCCAGTCGGTAGTACTCTGATTTGCTCACTGGTAAGGCTTATCATTGTGTTCGTGCAGCTTTACAATTTTCGTACGCTCCCTTGAAGTAACGTGCATCGCAGACAATGGCTGTAGGACAACTAATCGACAGTCGAGACAGTAGTGTCTGGGTGTAATAAAAATCTGATTGCAATCACGGATGACATAATCTTCATCATACACCCCGAAAATAAATTCACATTACTTCACACCACTGCAAATGACCTAATCTGAAGAAAAAATAGAAATCGATTACACCCTGTCACTCCATTGGGTCTAAAACTGACCGTATGGTGAAAGAAAGGAAACTAAAGCGGTTGTTCAAATTAATTGACACAAGGGTATACAACAAATGACTGCTTCTTTTGCCTTCTTTCCAATCTATTTTCTTTGTGGTTGCATAAGTCAAGCTCAGGTTGGAATCTTATCCTCTTCGCTAGAGGTCTTCTTTAAACTTCTGCTATAGTTGGATTTTATTTTTAATAAATATTCACACAATACAAGGTCCACCACCCAAGAAAGAGGGTAAATGAATTGATGTTACATTTTGGATGTAAATTGGAATTATTAAAAAGTAAAGATTACGAGGATATATACGCGGGTGAGTCAAAAAGTAATGCAATTTGTTTTATTATATAAGAAATAAGGAATCAAATCAAACATATCGTACATCAAGATAGAGCTATACATCATAAATTCACATCCTTTATTCTCAACATAGTCACCACCTCTTTCAAATCGCAGTGTTCCACTAACGAAGGGAGGCATGTACCCCAGCTTCGTAAATCTCAGATAGCTGTTGATGTAGGACTGAGGAGAGAGCCTTGTAAGACGCCTGCATTGTTCTCATGGGCTTCAGAAGACTGACGGACATTAAAGTTGATATTCATGGACTTATCCGATAGGAAGGACTTGATCATTGCAGCGAATCTTCCAGAGATGCCATAACTGGAGAGTTTGTGTACCAATCACCTCTGCTAAAATGTCAGAGGTCTTTGGTATATCTAAGGAGATCACTCTCATGATGTATTTATTATCGAATGTTTCGCAGATTCTGTGTTTAATGTTAGAACTAATAATGGCATCCCAAAATTCAAGGAACCGGTTCTATAAAGGCAGTTAATATTTAGAAACTTATTTTGTTTATTTTCCTTTCAATCTGAGACTTAATTACTTTATATAGAATAAAAAAGAATTAAACAATTTTGATAAATTCAATAGAAAATAATTATTTATTAAGATATTTCCAGATTGAAATTCTGTTCTCATCATATTTCTGCTCAGAAGTCTGATGCTTTTTTACTCTAGTGTCATCAACTGTGTTATGGTTTCTTAGCCACATTTGAACTAAATTGCTGCAGTCCCAAAGATCCAATGGAAAGCCTTTCAAATTTATGACTAGAAGATTTGCCACATTTTTAACTTCAAGACAATTACTTTTGTTAGAATAAATTATGTTCATCAAAGAAAACCCTCTTTCAGCCTCCACAGAAGTTACAGCAATGGTATTAGCTATTCAGATATTAAATATCGGTTATTAATATATAAGTTTATTTTCGGATAAGCCTGCAACCGGTTCGCTAAGCTTTTTTTTTTTTAAATTTTAAGAATTGGCTCACGCGAACTGTTAAGATACCGCCACTGGTTAGGGCATCAGCAGTAAAGGGGCAAAATCTATACTGTCTGTCGCTTAGGATATTGTTTCTGTTGAGGTTATCAACAATTTTCTTATTGATAATACATTTTGTTGCTGATACTAAATAGGCTGATGGGTTGGTGTTAAGGATAAGCGCTACCCTACATTTCTGGGGAGAGGCCAGACAGTTAACACTTTACATAGACCCAGGAAACATTTATTCTTCAAGTAGCAGTTAAACAACTTTGTCAATATTAATTAATAGATTAATTGCTGTTGTGTGCTTTCGTCTAGATATTGTGTAAAGATGCTGATAGATGCTGTTATATAAATAAGTGTTTTACGTTCTGCTAAGCGGTTTTCGTCATTGGAGAGCGGTAAGTTGCCGCTGTAAGAACTGCTATCTCAGCTCGCTCAGTTTTGATTATCTAAAGCAAATAAACATTTTTATCGTTATTTTCTACCCTGTACTAGTTTGACACAAGTCAACAGGTTGGGAGCCCCTAGTGAGTATAGAATTCACTACAGTTATAATAGTCTTCGGGACTAACATAATAGTCATTATTTTATATCAAAGCTCTTAATCAATTGTTTTATATAATCCGTGTATGATTTTCCTGTTAGATTATTGTCTAAACAGGGTACGATCACGTTGAAAGGCATAACTGATTTATTTAGTAGGCTCTCTGTATTCTGACTGGACAGCTATGCTTCTAAATTAAATAACAGATTTTAGGGGAATTGACACAATAAACAGAAATATATTATTAAGTTAAGAGTTCATGGATAAAAATTCTCGATTTTGTCTTTAATGTATATACATCTTAATCAGGTCATTCGTTTTTTTTTTTTTTTGAATAAATATAAATTTTGTCCTCTCGAGGGTCTCCTTTTTCTCAAGTGGAAACCAAGAATTTATTTATCTATGAGCGTATCCCTAAAAGTACATCCTATCTTTCGGGCGACATCAGTGCGAGAACGTACGTCTGTGAGATGTCGGATAATCCAAATATTTACTGTGATTCGAATCTCAGGCCATTTTTGTGAAACTGGTCTATTAGAATTCCGAAAACTGTTTCTTTTTAATACACTCACAGGGAGTTACATTTTTATTCCATTTTTTCTTCTTTTACTATCTCGTACATATTTTTGGAATTTCCGAATCTTCATAGAACCCGGCTACTCTCGTTTTCAGAGCAAACAGCTGCTAGGGCGGATAGCCAATCCCTGTCGCAGACATCTGCTCAGGCACATTTGGGTTTGTTCAATACTCTGTGGTGTATACTGTAACTATGCTGAGCTAACCTTAGTTACACTTTCTGGGAAAGAACGTATCATCTGTCATGATTCTCTCTCTCCCCCCCCTCTCTCTCTCTCTTCTTTTTCTTTTCCTACACAATTTTTTGTATGTAACCGATAGACTTTGTTTTTCTTTCTTTTCATTGCTGCCTCTCTTTCGTTTCGACATTTTTCATTTTCATTCAGCAATTCTTTCGCCACCGTTATTTTTCGTTTGTCTTTCTTTCTTTTTTTTCTTTATTTATTTACTTATTTCACGTTACGATTTCGTTTGCATTTTTTCTTTCCTTCATTTGCCCTTTTTTTCTATTTTTCGTTTTTGCTTCATTTTTTCTTTCTTTTTTCTTTCTTTCTTTTTTCTTTCTTTCTTTTCATCTTTATTTATTTATGCGTTTCTTTCTCTTAGTTACTCTCCCCCTCCCCCCCCTCTCTCTCTCTCTCTCTCTCTCTCTCTCTCTCTCTCGTTACGATTTCTTTTAGTTATCTATTTTCCTTCACCATTTCTTTCTTTGCCAGCGTGATTTTGGGGTTTCTTTCTTTCTTTTTTTCTTTTTTTTTCGGCTTTTTTGTTATGTTTTTCTTCACCAGTTTTTTTCTTTCTTTACATTTTTCTATCGTTTTTAAAAATTTTCATCATTCATTTTTTTCTTTCTCTATTGATTTCTTGTTTTTTTTATCTTCATTTACCAGATCTTTATTTGTCATCATTATTTTCCGTTTTTCTTTCTTTGGTTACGATTTATTTTTTTATTTGTTTTCCTTCATTAGTTCTTTCATTGTCACCGATGATGATTTTCTTTTTTCTTTTGTTGTTTCTTTTTTTTCTCCGCTATCACACATTTTTCTTTACCTTTTATTACTTTTCCCGATATTTCTCTTTCTTTCATTCCATTGCCATTACTTTCCCCATTATTTTTCCATTTCTTCCAAGCCTTCATGGCTTTCAAAAATCTCCCACCTCCCTTGTCTTGTTCCTTTATTTTTCTTATAGAGTTTCTTTCGTCTTTTGTTATCGCACACAGCCATATAAACACAAGTTCGAAAGTGACATCACGTGAAAGCCCTATTCTGTGCTCTTTGGATTGAATCAGTTCTGTTTTGTCACCCGTCAGGACAGATAACAAAAACAGACGTGCCTAGTCCCTGGTGATTCCTACACCTCCACAGCTCTACCACATTACACTAAAGTGAAGGTTCAAGGAACATCCTGGTGCCTTTGTGAAAATAGCTGCAGTGAGCTAGAAATTGTTTTGTCCGAATCCAAACGCACGCCTGTCGGGCAATGCATTAAACCAAACTTTATATCATATTTGCATTCGCCGGCATTTAAAGAAAGAAATTTAGTTAAGAAAGGATATATGTATTCTTCTATGTGCCGGGTCTTTTCAGGTTGACCCTCTGCAGTTTCCTATCCAAAAATCAAGGCCTGAAAGCTGATCTATCCTCTGATCTAGCTTGCACAGCTTAAAGGGGGGGGAGGACTGACTTTTCACATTCAATCCCTAATAACCTTTCATCACCACATATAGAAGATATTGATTTTTTTCCAGTCATGAATGATTGTACTCTTAATGAGTCACCTTGCCTCGAACATCTACGGGGTACTCAAGTTCACCCCAGACCCCAAGTGGAATTCGTATATATGATCCATCGCCAAATATGTTGGAAAAATGTTTGACTCTCTATACCACTCCAGAAAGTACCTGACTCTTCCTGAAAATCTCTCTGAGGCGTCTTCAAGAATAAATCTCTTCTTAGAATAACCTATAGAGATTGATATGCCACTAAACAAAATCAACCAAACCTAACGAACCCAGTTACTTCAAGTCTTCAAGAAAATTGTTTCTATATCATATAGTCGTCGTCGTCGTCGTCCGTCCGTCTCGAGAGACGATGAAGTAGCGCGGTGTGCTACGAGCCTGGGCGGGATATATGGAGAACCAGGGCTGCCCAGACGTCTAGTTCCCCATCTCGGCATTGCTAGAAGAGTCCAAAGGAGAGGATAAGCCAATACAGTTCGGTACCAGCGCGGCAGGTAACACCGTGCTGTCCATCCGCCTTAGGGGCTCCAGAGTTTTCCTTCTCCTAGACCAGTTGCCATCCAAGTCTGTCCTGCTATTTACCCATGGCTGGGGGGAGAAGAAGAGGATTCACACCTTTAATAATGGATTCGACTGGAATTCGAACTCGGTTCTCCGATTCCTCAATCCAAACCGCTATCCATTACTCCACCGCGCCTCCTCTATATCATATAGGACGACTGATATTACATAGCAGTTCAGCATTCTTTCCTTTGCTTCTAATGAAATTGTCTCGTTCCTTTATTTGCCATTTAGAAGGCATCTTTTGCTCTCCCAATGCACCTTTGGATTTCTGGATCCTTTTTCCGTTACCGTTACAGTTCTGTACTTATTGCTGATGTCTGCAATTCGGAGTTCGCATCTTGGGTTGCTGCTTTTTCTTATGATCATACATTCTCTTTTCTTAGAATTAATGCTTAATCCTTTCCTCACCCTTTCCTTTACTACCTTGTCTAAGAGATCCTGCAGTTTTTTGTTTACATTTACTATCAACACAGTGTCATCTGCGTATATCGATACCTTAAGGACGGGTGTTTGAGAGATGAGAGAGTAAGAGTCGAAATAAAAACGTACTGTTTGAGACTCAACAGATTTACGCATCGCTAACTTTGCCAGTGTTGGTCCGTTTTGAAATGTTGCTACAAAAAACTCTCTGTTCTTCTCTTCTCTGAGCCTGTGTTATATAAAAATAAGAACCAGCTTGATAACTGAAAAGATATCGTCGACTTTACGTAAAGTTATGTTACTTGGGTATTGTGGATTTTACACGCAACTTTACTTATAAAGTGAACGGAAGTCTTAAACAGTCATCTTAATTTTGGGAACAAAACATTCCTTCGACTCTGTTTTATTCTTGTGTATTAAATATTAATTTTTAAAAAAATCAAATCAATTATTTAAATATGATTTCAGTTCTCTGGTTCTATGATGAAATCATATTTAAATGTCGGCATAACAATAAGTTGAAACTGTCTTAAAAATAGACATTTATTTTGCGTCAAACACTGAAAAATATATGTTTAAGTTTGTAACTATGTATGTGGTATATATTCTTAAAATACATTTATAAAATGTAACGGTTGAGTTTATCAGTGATGCCCTAGCTTCATTACGGATTTCGGGTATTGCAATATCAGATTTGTTCTGCCAGAGACCTCTCCTCATAATTCGCACCACGATGTGATTTTAATAAAAGAAAATGTATTAATAATCAGGAGGTAGATCTTTCCTTTGTAATGGCAACGAGACTTGGATTAGCTAAATATATATATATATATATATATATATATATATATATATATATATATATATATATATATATATATATATATATATTATACATACATACATACTGAAAGAGACATATATATATATATATATATATATATATATATATATATATATATATATATATATATACTCACGCTCCAAAAAAAGAAATAGCGATTTTAACTTTTTTAGTAGGGGTGGGGGAGGTCGGTGGAGTGCTTACACTATTGAAGAGGGATAAGTGTGGGAAGAAAAAAGTAGTTTGTATACAGGAGTAAGGAAAGGTAATGTAAGATTTTATGGGTAAACCTTTACCTAGACAAACAGCAATAAAAATCACGTAAATATATATATATATATGTATGTATATATGTATGTATGTATGTATGTATGTATGTATGTATGTATGTGTGCGTGCGCATGTGCAAGTAAGTCTGCAATTATTTCGAATGAAAGTTATTGAAAAATAACAAGAAGGTTTGATCAGAAAGGAAAAAAAGATCAGAAAAAAAAACGATGGAAGAAAAATAAAGAAAAAAGAATAGAAGAAAGGAAAAAGAAGAGAAAGAAAGAAGAAAGCAAAAGACAAAGAAATTGATAAGAAAAGAAGAAAAGCGAGGAAAGGAGAAATCAGAAGAAAAAATTAGAACAAATCGAAAATTACGTGTAATAAGAAAGCAAGAGAAAACAAAAGTAATTGAGAAAGAAAAAAAAAGAAAGAACGAAAAAAAGAAAGAAAGAAAGAACGAAAGAAAGAAAGAACGAAAAAAAGAAAGAAAGAAAGAAAGAACGAAAGAAAGAAAGAACGAAAGAAAGAAAGAACGAAAGAAAGGGATTGCAGAATAAAAAATACAGATATTCTCAGCATAATCAGAATCCAACGAAAAGGAAGAAAGGGAAGAGAAGAGGAAAGTCGAAGTTCACGCGCCTAAAATGTGATAGAGAGCTTAATTGTCTCAGATTGAGGATGCAGTGACACTAATCAAATAGTAAAAAAACTACTAAGTAGATAAATAAATCCTTACAAACTGAATGGTCAAAAGAAAGTCCTTCACAAACAGACGTTGCTTTTTCACGTATGAAAAGTAAACAGCTTTCAACAAGTTTTTAATAAGACAGTCGTTGTTAAAAACCGGAAGTAGAAAACACTGTCTCTAGACGCAAACACTAACGACCTGTGTTTTGACGTGTGCCGCCGTAACAAATGCCTGTAGTCCTAAATGATATGTACGTACTTCTACGAGTACAAGAAATGTCTCCATGATCTACTTAAACAGAAAATGCATACTTATTATTCGGCAGTATCTTAGATTTTTTGAAAGATTTAAGAAAATATAAGAATTCATTACGAAAAGACAAAATGTGGTTGAAAAAAAAAAGAAAATAAATGTCTTTACACAATGTACTTATCGAAAAAATATAAGAATATTTTTTAAAAGAGTTTGAAGAATTAGAAAAAAAAATTATTTAAAAGATCTTTTTAAATAGAACATTCAACAGCTATTCTTGTGTTATATTCTGATGAACGTGGATTCCCAACAACTTGGAAAGAAATGGGCCCCAAATATTTGCGCCTAAACTAATGACAAAACCTTTTTGTATTCACAATTTCCTTTTCGGTAAAATCTGTGAAAGAAGTGGGATGAAAACAAAATCAAAATCAGATAATCTTAAAAACTCAACTTAAATTTTGTAAAACTCAATTTGATTGGTTCATAAATCTTACGCGTGCCAAAAACATAACTAGGGAAAAATTTGTGCGTGAATCTTTTCCCCATAAATTTTGATTCATGGCGTCTTTCAGCCACAATGTGTGGATACCGTCCAGACAAGACTCTTCCAAGCAAAAAAGAGGTTAACCACCCTAAGAAATAGGACAATGGTATTTACTTCTTAAAAATACCTATTCGTCTATTTATCTCGATTGTTTGATATTGTCGATAAAACATTCAATCACTGTCTAAATTTCTGAGGAGTTATCATTATTTACACTATTTCTATTCTGACTATTATCCTCATCTTTGATGTTACCACAACGTTTCGTCCGTTGTGCCATCCGGCTTTCATTGAACTGGGTAACTTATTTAATCTACGGAGCTAATCTATTCTCGTTCTAATGTCTAGGAATATCATCATTATTTTTAGTATTGATCAGTTATTGCTCGTCCGTTTCATCGAGTACATACTGCTGGGATTGAATTCACGATTACAATGTCACCAAATTCACGAACCAACGTTTTATTCACGTGGGTATTATCCCGTAGTGAACTTGGAGCCTTAAACCTAACCTTCCTGATGCTTAGCGATGCTACTGTTGCTGTTTTTACACTATTTATATTCGGATTTTTTTCCTTATCTTTGTTTTTGTTATCATAACGTTTCTTCTGTTGTGCCCTCCCTTCGTCAGGTGTATATCAATCTGGGTAACGTACAAGGAATTCTGAATTGAACTCTTTATTTAATACATGGAGGTAAACTGTTCTCATCCCACTACCCCATAGATTAAATAAAGGGTTCAGTTCAGAATTCCTTATAAGTTACTCAGATCGATATACACCTGATGAAGACTGTGGGTACAAAGGCCGAAACGTTGTTCTTCAGAAACATTCATAAAAGGACCCTGTTTCAATAAAAGCAGTAGAAATTTCTTCTATTTCTAGAAACATATTCTGGAAATAGAAGAAAGATACGAATCCTGGTTGCTGGTTGCTGGTCAGCTCACGCACAGGGAATGATTTGTGCACATTTTATATATTATTTAAAGCAAAAAAAAATTGTGATTTCCTTTCAAATGTTGAGAGCAATTTTTGATTTTTATCCTTTCTTTTGTTTTTTAATACATAAATTTGCGTGAATAATAAATAATTTTTTCAAGTTTATACATTTGGGCATGTGGTCTTCATTTCACCCCCTTTTTTTATAATTCTTCTCCTCTTGCTCACATGTTAGTTTTTTATGGTCGCCTCTAACGTCTTTCTTCTTTTTCTTTTTTCTTTAGGAGAACATCAAAAGAGAACAAAGAAGAAGAGGAGGAAGAAGAAGAAGAATAGGAAGAAAAAGATGGAGGGGAGGAGGAGGGTGAAGAAGAAGAAGAAGAAGAAGAAGAAGAAGAAGAAGAAGAAGAAGAAGAAGTGGAGGAAAAATAGAGAGAAAAATATGGAGGAAGATAAGAAGGAGGAGTGAAAAAGAGAAGAATGAGGAGAACAAAAACAAGAAGAAGGTGAAGGGAGAATAAGAAAAAAATGAAGCAGGAGAAAGAGAGGATGACGGAGGAGGAGAAGTAAGAGTAGAATAAAAAGGAGGAACAGATAGAAGAAGAAGAAGACTGAAAACATTTCATCAGAGAAAATTACAATAAAGCATGAGTCTGAATTCTATCGTCCGATATTTTTAATTAAACACAATTAAGATGAAGACAAATGCCCGTAAAATAAATTCCATCTCAGAAAATCAGGAAACTTTTTTTTTCTGTTTAAATGTCTTACTTTAGCTCAACCTTAAATATTGGTCATTTCACTGTTTATTTATTTCCAAATTTGATTGACTTATTTAAGATATTTAAGTGTTCAGAACAAACGCTGTTGTCAAAGAAAATTCGTTTCCGGTTTGTACTTATTTTTTTCTCACCTAATTCTCTTAACTCATTTGTGGTTAGGACAGAGTTTTTCACTTGCTGAATTGCTTCTTCTGTTTTTCATCCGTTCAGCAAGGCCGAACCTCTACCAGCAACGCACGTGTCCATGATACTCGCATTCGCTTACTACGACCCTTCCTATATTTCCACCCAGCACACACACAGTTTTATCTCTGACCCGATCGATTTAAAAATACACAAGTTTCTTTGCTTCAAAGAAGACCTTTAGATAAGTATTCACATCCGACGATCTATTTCACGTTATCCCTGTCTGTCTGTCTGTCTGTCTGTCTGTCTATCTATCTATCTATCTATCTATATTCAGTTCTATCTATATATATATATATATATATATATATATATATATATATATATATATATATATATTTCTCTTAAGTTCTATCAATCTATCTACGTAACTATTTCTGTTCAGTTCAATCTATCTATCTATCTATCTATCTATCTATCTATCTATCTATCTATCTATCTATGTTGTTATGTTCAGTTCTATCTGTCTATCTATCTATCTACAAGGTAACCAAAAATGTTTCTTCGACGCTGCTCGAGCTTTGGGCAAGGCCAACGACCATCACTTACCCAGCAAGTGACGCACTCATTTGTGTATCTGTAATTACTTCTTCCCACACGACGTAAAAACGGCAAGGACTTTTTTTGATTACATTATACTTCAATCTGTACTCATCTATTTTTTTTTATCTCAATCTGACAATCTTGTCTATATTTCTCATGCGTTTCATATCTAATTTTGTAATACGTTCGTATCTATTACTCTAGCAATCGGTCGCATTCTGTTCAATTCTGTATCCCTCTCTCCCTCTCTCTGTATCTCTGTTTCTCTCTCTCTCTCTCTCTCTCTCTCTCTATATATATATATATATATATATATATATATATATATATATAGATATAGATAGATAGACATAGGAAATTAACCTGAATTTCATCTTTCCTTTGAAGCAAAATTTAATTTTGGGGTGAAATTATAGTTTCAGGCACAGAAATGAATACATCTTAGCAAGCCTCAAATACACCTCGTTGCGACATAATAATTTACGTAGTTATGGATATTTCAATATATATATATATATATATATATATAGTACAGATAATTGATCAGTTGGTATATAATCCGTGTGGATCCTAGTAATATTAATTATTAAAACTGATACACAAAGAGATCGATTTATTCATTATAACTGAGCATATGTATTTTTACAACAAAAAAAAAGAAAAAAATTCCATCAACATAGAGGATGGTCTATTTCAAGCCGTTTTGTACGCGGTTATCATCAACCCTAAGTGTCTGTCTAAGACACTTAGGAGATGAGGTAATTTTTATTTGATATATATATATATATATATATATATATATATATATATATATATATATATATATTTATATGAAACTTTCTTTCCAAGCTTAACAGAAGTATCGTGATGAAACTGATCACAAACGAAAATGACACGTTCATAATTTAAGGATCGGAATCTCATGAAGGACTGGAAATATATAAAATAAATTATATCAAATATATAATATAATTCTAGGATCATTTTCATTCAAGATGATTTCGGCCCTCTCTAACCTTCGAACTTTCTATCCTGGAGTAACAAGGTGCCTCACACTTTTCACGTACGATTTCATTTTCAAGTCTTTTTTCACTGCTCCTTGGGCTGTCATAGATGAAACTTCTCTCTCAAGTTTCAAATGTCTTATTGGTTGAGTTGGATTTTTCTAATTGATCTCTTTAGCTCTAAGTTTAAATGATGATCCTTCTTCCTGTTATGACCTATTGATCCAATTTTCCTCTCTACTTTTCCCTCTTTTTTAAATTTATTCACCGTTTTCTTGATGGTTCTTGATTGGAATTTGAAGATGGAAGCCAGAGTATGAATGCTGATACTATTACTGAATGCCTGAATGATCATTTTTCCTCTCATCGTTGCTCACTTGGAAAGACAGTAGAGCAAACGCAAAACGATTTTAACTTGTTTTCTTTCTAGCTGAATAAAACAGAGCGTTTTTCAGTGATTCTTACGACAGATGGTGTCAAGATGGCTAAATGTTTTTTACTGAAAACCTGTATAAAAGAAACTCCATTAGTCATTAGTTTAGTGTTTTCTTTTATATATTAAATATTTTATGGGGTGGATAATTATACTGTTACAAGATTTGGACAATATATATATAATATTGGTACTTACTATATGTAGAGATTGGTCTAACCTTGTTATATTATGTCTCTGGGTTGCAAACATGAGAATATTTTACAATATTCCATCTTAAACGACAGCTTTGTGCTCCTACTATTTTTATCTACTAAATTTCATCCAAGACGAGACCAGAAAGTCACTCAAGGCAGAGTGTTACAGTCGAAACGGCAATCGTGGACAATGTGAGGCACAGTTTATACAGATATGTGGGGAAGATAACGGTTAACACTAGACTTGAACAGGTTAAGATTGTTGTGATCGGGCAAGGAGTCGGTTCTCCAGAACAGTGGTTAGCGGGAAAGAACTACTTGAGTGGAACTTACTTCTCACCGACGGAATACAAAGAGATTGAGGGTGGTTCGTTACAATGGGTGTAGCATGGCGGGTCTTAGACGTGAAAGTTAGAACTGGTGGAATTAAGGAATGTATTTCGTCTGAGCACTTTCCATGGAAATGGCGATAGAGCTGTGAGAGGCTTGTAACATTTCATCTGTGATAGAGAGATTGGAATATAATTTGTCACTTACAATGATATCGTGACACTTTTGGAAAGTCAAGACTGAGTAGCTTCTTCCCAAATATGACAGGAGTACTCCAGTTTAGGTCTGATCTGGATCTTGTAAAGGTGGAAGATAGCACGAAGTGTCTGGAGCGACAGGCTTACAACGTTTCCACTCTGTGAAAGAGATTACACTTTTCTTCGTGATAGAATCTATGTCTCTTGAGCAATTCTTAGTGACTCATTGTTTCAATCCTGGCCTGTCTGCTTATTTGATGCGTCACTTTCTTTACCCCCACCACCACCGCCAACCATACCTGTAAACCAAAAACTGATTCTTCTGTGAATTCTTTAAGTTGATCTATTCACCTTTGTCCACTTTTGCATGTTCAAGTTTTTTGTTGTTGTTTTTTGCCTGAAAATAGTATTCTTATTCATATTTATTTATCCGTTATCTCAAATAGTCGAGTAAATTTAGTTTGACAGTCAGGAGCGACTCATAACGAATGACCAGGAGTCCTATCATCTCCATAAATCAACAAAACCTTTGTCAGAATTCTATCTAGCTCAGGAACTGCTATTTTCTGAACTATCGCATTTCGAATCATAGTACGGATTTTAGCCCACCTATTTTTGCATTTTGCCTTTCACGGGTCCGAGGGCGTCCTCAAAACCAAGAACAACTTCTATGTTCTAACGCCACCAAAAATGTCTCATGTCTCCAATCTTAATACCTTTCTTTTCTTTCTCAATTACCCTGACGTGCCCTGGAAACACTATGTCAATGATCCAACAGTTTGTCTTTCTTCTGGATAATAATGATGCCTAGCTTCCTTGCTTCAATTACATCATCACATTGGATTATTATTATTATTATTAGTAGTAGTAGTAGTAGTAGTAGTAGTAGTAGTAGTAGTGCTTTTCTTATCTCAGTTATCTAAATTTATCAATGGCCTTCTAAATTGAACGCCTTCATTATTTGGCATCTCATTCGTTTTATCTTTCTTCTTTTTCAGCTTCTTGAAAATCTTTCGTTTTTCTTTTCATCATTATTTATTCTTAGATATTTATTAAGGCTTTTTAGTCTATCATCAGATCCGAAAAAGGAATAGAGGGATAAAAAGACTGTGTTGCGCCATTTATCTAAAGGGAGGGCGCTAACCGTGAAAAGTCTGTATTCAACCATTAAGATTTGTCTGAGTACGAAACTGACCGCTGGCATCAATGGCAAATACAATTATTTCATCGAATCGTTTATTATCGATCTTTTTCGGGTTAATATCGCATCCACGAAGGATCGAACTCAAGAGACAAGCGAATTTAAAGATAAAAAAATTATTATCAAGTGAGGAGAGATCTGGGTAGATAAAATAAATTAATGTGATTAAAAGTCAAATGAAAGGAAAAAAGAAAGAATGTGTTGCGCCAGTCTTCCAGCATTACCACAAGTGTAAAATGCGTAAAGATTTCAGTCTCTAAATGGGTCAGTTGTTTAACCCTTAAACGATGGTCATCATCAGTTGATGTTTTCATTAAATGGTATCAACTTTTTTTTCCGGCACAATTCATGATTCTATTCTAAATAACAAATTGACAACTCTAGGCTTCATGGAGTTACTATTTTCTTGGATTCATGAGGTTACACCATTTCAAGGGATATTTGCCTGTAAATAAAGCTGGAAGAACAAGTCAAAGACATTGCAATGTCTGCATGTACACTTCTCAAAGAGAAAAGAGACACAAAATGGCAATAACCGGACACAAAGAATGTACAGCACTATTGTGCATGGGTGATTTCAAAGAGTATCATACTGCTAAAAATCTTTTAGACTTCTTTTGAATTTAAGCGCAGTACTAGACTGGTATCGAGATCTCATCAATTTACAGTCGAGCTGGCTAGATGTAAAATTTATACTAACAGTTTCTTTCATCACACTTCTCCCTTGCAGAACTCCCTCCCGCTTACATATTTCCAGCCAACTTTAATCTTCAAAAATTTAAATGCAAAGTCAATCACTATCGACTGTCCTCAGGATTACACTTCTATTGTTCCCCCTCATAATTAATGTTTCTGTTCTTCCCTACCTTGTGTTTTAGTGGCTTTACTGCCCCATGCTTAGGGTGAAATCGATTAAAAAAAAACGATGAAGAAGAAACTTGTAGCAACAAGAATGTAGTTCGACAGAAGTATAATGAGAATACCATAGACTGGACATGGGAACAACGGCAAAGTTTTAAAGACTATGAAAACAAAGATGACACTTATAATTAACATGAGGAAGAGAACATTTCTAGGGAACATATTGAGGAAATAGGTCTTGGAAGATATGGTATTCACAGGGCAGATTGAAGGCAAGAAGGAGACGGGGAAAATAACGCATAACATACCTAGCGAACTTGAGTAAATGGTTGATGGAACAAGGTTTAGGAGAGATAACAAAAAGGTAAAATTTATTAAGAGCTACAAAGGACAAGAAATTGCGGAGAGCCATTATGGCCAACGTCCTGAAAGGACACGGGACATAGAAGACTAAATGTCCTTCTTTTTTTTATAATCTAAAAATTAAAATATCATTTTTATAATTTTATATCGCTAAATTAAAATTAATAAATTTTCTTGTTTTTTATCTACTTGGTGTGCACGTCCTTGCAAACTTTTTTTTATTGTTTAAGCTTTAATAGCTATAATAATCATATTTGATGATTAGTAGATTTAGGTTAGTACTGTAGAAGAACGAATGAAGGATAAATAAAAGTAGAAAGATTGTATTGTATCAGTCTTTTAATGATTTCCATTGTTCATCGCTGGCTTCAAGGAGCATCATACTGGTGAAAAAGAAACTTGAAGCAACAGAAATATGGTTCTACAGAAGAATGGTTCTACTGAGAATAGCATGGAGAGACGAGTTCGAATTTCAATCAATTTCATTACATTTACTTACGTGCTAAGAAAGATATGGATCCAACTAGTCTACACCCCCCAGCTATGGGTAAATAGTAGGACAGACTGAGTTCTATAGCCTTGGGTGGAAACCGGTCTGATTCGATGATACCGATTTCTTTGTTTTTAATGCTTTGAAAATCAGCATTCCAATTCATGACATTCAACTTGAACGAAAACTGGCTTCCGTCTCTTCTCTCATTTCTTCGTAACTTATTTATATTTTCGATTTTATTTATATTTTCGATTTTATTCCATAACTTCTCATCAAACCAACATTGGAAGCAAGTGTGATATCTTACCAAAAAAAAAAATCGTTCCTAGAAAAATTTGACGTTTTCTTTCAAATGAATCTATGTAATGGTTTTTCTTACTTTGACAGTGAATTGTATAGTGGATCAAAACATTCGCATAAAGAATTGACGCCAATGAACACAAAATCTGTTCTTGGGGTTGCTAATGTAATACTTGGAAAAACATGTATTTATTCTGAGTTTTCTTCTACTGGAGTTAGATTGCGAAATGACTCAAGAAAAATCGAAGATAGAAAAAAATGTAATGAAAACAATGATCTTCCTGGAAGAGCTGAGGATAAATCTAGCAAGAAATGTCATGGCACTTCTTTCTCCAGCAGTAAATCACATAGTGATTCAAAACAATTTGTAGATACCTATGAAGACATTAAAAGCTGTGACTGTCTCGGTGCAGTTGACAAGATATATACTAAGGTTTCAGTAGCGAGTATTTTCAACACTGGCATGGAACTGGACACGAATTCAAGATAATTTGTAGAGAATGATGAAGACATTAAAAACTTGACTGTCTTGGAGCAACCGACAAGATAAATTGTGTATATTATCTTGAATTTTCTCTGCACAAGCATATATTTGGATAGTGTTTCAAAATAATTCGGAGATTGTATGAAGTCAGTAAATTTGGAAATGTCCGGGATTGTAGCAAACAAGATATATTGCAAGAAAAATCTTCTTACTCTGGCAGTGAATCAGATACTGTTTTCTCACAACTTGGCGATGGTGGCAGGGAAATCAATCAATGAATTTAATTGGCTGACGACGACATTCGCCGATATGACGTCATACACAAATATCCCGGATCCAATTCATCACATTATTTTTTCTCTTCGCCCGTTTTTTTTTTTTTTTTTCTCATTTTTACTTTTTTCTTCATTTTTACTTTTTTCCTTGCTTATTTTTCCTCTCTCTCTTTTTCTTTCGTTCCCTTCATTGTCAGCACTTAACGTCCATTCTTCTTTGCTTCTTTATTTCTTTTTTCTCCCCTCTTTTTTTTTTTTCAAGTACCAGTGTCTATCAAAAAGATTAGATAACCACAAGTGCATAAAAGCCCATTTGATGCTCTAGTTTCAAGTTCGTTTTTAATCTTAAAGCTACAAATTTTCGGCATAAAAAACACGTAGGCCAATCAAAGCTCACATTCTTTGCTCTCAAAGGCTATTTTTATTTGCATATATTATTCTAACCTTAATTGATACGTTTCCTTGGAAATTCGTCGAATATTTTAGCATCACGTTTTTATTTTTAGCAATTATGCCGCGCGGTTGGTGTCAATTTTACAAATCTCCTATATACTCGTATATGAGTCGAGTTTTGAAGACATTTAAAACAACAACAGAAAATTGGATATTGATCCATACGTGAGTTATAGTTTTCTTAGGTTAATATCTATCCAAGATGAGGAAGATTCAAAGAAATTATTAGATGAGAAAATAAACAAAATATTGCTTGTAAAAAAAAAATGATGCTACACTGTGCAAAATAATAAATGGCAAAAACTTAACCTTGATGCCGGATGCTTCAGGATCTTCGGCCGCCAAGATACAATGGGATCTTCAAGTAATTTGTGCGTTATACGTCATAAATTATAGTAATTTGTTAATTTTTCGTTGGATTATGTAGGCAAACAGGGATCTATCTATGCACTACGAAACGCATCCTTAAATATTCAAGAAGAAGGACTTCGTCGTAATGTAATAATTACCAAGCTTGTCTCGTTAGATTAATTCCTACTGGGGAGTAATTTCGATCCTCACTGAGTGCCCCACACTTTTGCCCTTGTGCCACATCTAAGCTACGCTTAGAAAACCATTCATGGCACCTCGACGTTATGTAATGGTTAGCAATCTTGTCTCGCAAGATCAATTACAACTGAATAGTAAGTTTGTCGTTGTGACAAATCTATGCTTAGACAATCACCATAAAATATGCGAGAAGCATGATATATAAACGCTATATATCAGATTGATTTGTTTTATATCTTGTTTCTTTGTTTAACGACATATCAACTTCTTAAGGGTCATTTAATGTCAAAATTTAATTTTCTTGGGAGCTTGGATATTTTTTTTAT